AACAATGTTTCTGCTCTGCGGGATTTTCATGACACCAATCTATAAGGAACATCTTTTCAGAAGGGTCTACCGACGTATGCTCTGCCACCAAAAAATCCCAGTGCTTTGATTTACATCACACTGATGAAGTTTTCCTCTGTAAAGAGCAGCAACTGTTTACCCAGATACATTTGGATAACGCCCGAGTCCTGTACTTCCCTGACTTGCATAGCTATGCAAATCCTTCACATGCGTGAGCTGAAGTTGTTGATAAAGGATTGATAACTCCTTCTGTTTATACTAACTGTAAAACATTCCCCGTAGAACTATCTCCCAAGGCTGATAAAACGCTCTCTCACAAAATAGCATATGTGTTATGGGTATCTTGCCATGAAGGGTATTGACCTGTGTGACAACAAAGAAGTTGTTTAACAAATACACTTCTTGAACTTTTAGCAGAATTCCTACTGATCTTTTCAACGTGAAGTTGCATAACTTCCTTTGCCCGGTGTCAGCAGGGCTGAATTTTACTTTTCCATTAATTCTTAACTATCGTTGATGGTCACAATCCATTTTTTCGTAATGCAGTCTGCCAATCAGTCGTCTCATTCTTTTATGAATAGTAATTTATGTTGCTGTTTTATCATCTGTAATATTCAGAGCTTGCCTTTACATGATTAATGTTCTTTAAGCACAGTTTTTATGGACTTTCCAATGCTTTTCAAGAACAAACCAAAAAACCCTCAGGCTTTAAGAAACTCCATAATCTTTTAAAATCTTCCTTTTGCCTGTCAAACACTGTACATACTGATGTGCGTTTTAGACCTAAGACCTCTCTTGGCCACAGTGGACTCATGCTTTAAAATACATGCAGGAAAACACCATGTGTAATTGGAGATGTAGTGCAGGTATCATTTGTGTACGGTCATACATAAAATAAGAAACTAATGATTTTTGCTTTTGTTTGGGCTCTACAGTTTCATTATTATAGATTACGCTTGCCATATTTTAGACATTCCTAGCCTTAACAACCAAAACTAGATTGGTTAGATGCAGGAGGTAACTGGAAAGAACTCAAGAAGGATACCAGCTGATTAGCCCATGAGCCTCACCATGCAACGGAGAGGGTTATTAAAAAAAGCAAACAAAAAAAGCATAGACAAGAATCCTAACAGGCTCAGATGCACTTAGCCTGATGCAAGAGGATGCTACCCCTATCACAGGAAATCCCTGATCGCCAGTCACCCAAAGACAGATTAATCATTTAACTGAGGGAAGAGTTGATCGAGAAGGCTGGTTTTGCCATGACTGTGATTTTGGATATGCAGAGCTCATGCTCTTCTCCTAAATAGTTTGTCTTGACCAGCAAGCTGCAGTTTGAGTCATCCTTAAACCAGAAGAGTCAAACCTGGATTTCCAGTTGGAGTGTGGTAACACCAGCACGTACTCTCTGGATTTGGAGAGCCACTGATCTTTCCCTGCTGCTTGTTTCTCCTCTTAAAGTTGCTCAGCAACTTGTCCCTGCTCCCACGTGGGATGGAATTGAAGCCGAGCTGCTTCCCCTTCACACCACCTGGAACGGCAGTGACCTGGGAGGAGCTGCCAGGAGTCCTGCCCGACACAGCTGCCTTTGGGATATACACCCACTCCTGCTCTCGGCCCTTTGCTAGCGCGCCCCCCGTCGCTAACCCAACTCACTACATTCTCCTCCGCACTGCCGGGGTGCCAGCTCCTGGCCAGCTGATGATCCGTTGAGAAGACAGAACAGACGTTGTCTTTACTCTAAGCCCCCCTACAACAAGAGACTAAGTAGTCAAAAGAAGCAATTCAGGGGAAAGCTGTTCAGCCCCTCTGGCCAAGGAGCAAAAAATACTTGGAACGAATAGAATCTTCTGAAAATACTGCTCTACAGAGTCGCTACTAAGCACACACGAACTACAATTTGCAGAGGTTTGCAACTCCGCCATCTTCAAGTATACTTTTGTAAGAACGCTAAAAGCTAAACTTTTACATCAAGACCACTCCCTTCTCAAACAGCAACCACTTGATCTAAAGTACAGAAAGAACAGAGCGACACAGTGAAACATGTATAGTGGCTTTGGTATGTTAGACACTGTAGTATTTTCCAATATTTTGTCTCATCCAAATCATTCTTAGCCAAAAATTAAAATAAAAACTTAACAACCATAATAATAACATAATTTGAGACACATACCACAAACAATTTCTGTGAAAAAAGGATAAGTTTTGCAAAATTACAAACACCTAAAAAGCCAAGGTCAAAAACATGAAATGTTTGACAGCACTACCAACTTTGTTCACGGTAAGATAAGGAACGCTCATTTTGGCTTAGCGGAGAAAGGGGGCATGGTTTAGCAGTCTGACCTTCCTCCCAAAAACAAGACTGTAAAGCTGACTTTTTTCATGTTCCTTGGCAGAACAATTACACATTGTATCCTCATTCTCTCCTGACTATAAAACAGTGTCTAATACCTACTCATTAGCACAAAGCCACGCCTGCTGTGTGATCTTGGGCAAATCAAATCAAACTTGTCTTCCCCTGTAGTGTTTTCTGTCTAGTTAGACTGAACTTTTCTAGCTCTTCTTTCCCTCTGCTGCCACAGTTAAGTAGCCAGAAGAAGCACCATCTTGGTGGGATGTCACATTACCAACAGGGATTTAATATTCCTTTATGTTTCCTCCTCTTCTTTCTCCAACTTTAGGACTGTCAGGATTGATAACTTTTCTGTATCGTGTACAACTGCTTAAGCCTTCCACTGGCACTTAATAAATACATAACAGGCAGCGATACGAGTCAGAAGTCTGCTCAGCTTCTGAAGAGCACCTGCAATTGGTGCTGCAAAGAGCTGAGAGAAATGCTAGCACTCTGACATCGTACCCTTCCTTCCCTTTGATTTGACTCCAGAAAAGACTACCATTAGACTGAGAAAAGATCTAGTGGGAAAGATAATACAATCTGTGCAGGTTAGAGGCTGCAGCCAAGGCTGCGGCTGCTCTCCAGGGTATCAAGCCTTACTCATCCTTCAGCTACAGATGAGGGCAAGTCACAGTTTCTCAGGAGCGTCTTATAATGCTGCAGTGCTAAGAGCAACTGGGAACAATGGAAATGTGCAGGACCATTCTCCGCATAGTTCTGACAGCCATCAGTGTCACAGAACGGGAAGATACCCTCATTTTGCAGGGACTAGAGAATAATCCTGCTCCGTGAAGTGCGTTGGAAACTCATGCTTTGGGAGTAAGTGCATTCCTGTGTCCGTAATTTTTTTTAATAGTAAGAGAATTTATCCTCCTAGTTTTAAGCATGAAAACTGCTATGTAAACACTCACATCGCCAGTTACCGATTATCAAGCAAGGAGAAAAATTAACTTCTGTCAAGTCGATGAGAGTAAGATTGTTAGGGAAGGAAATGACATTTTTAAACTCCTAAGTGGATACCATAAACAATGGGGAAAAAAGTCTACAACGCCTTATAAACAGACTGTTTCCTGTCTCTTTTGTGTGCTTTTGAAGAACCTGTAGCAAGCTACCTAAGGAGGAGACTATAGCATGTGTAAAAATAAGCGGTAGCCGAGAAAAAAAAGAGTTTTCCTAGTTGTAAGCTGCTTTTTGTTTTATGGGCACCTCAACATACCGCTCATGTTTTCATCTCCGCCACTCAGTTCAGCATGGAAATATCAGAAAGACAAATTCAAGTATTCAGGAAAACATAATGATTGAGAGGGGACAAAAGATTGTAAAATCTGTATCCTGCTCTTTAATTTGTCTGTAAAGAACAGCCAATCTTTAGTCTCTTCAATCGCTAATAATTTATTCTATGTTGGGGTTCAAGAAAATTGTTATGTTAAAGAAGTTTATCCGTTTAAAAGTTTTAATCTGAGGAGATCAATTGCAGTATTTATCAGATGTTTCATTTCATATAGGTCAGCATACCTTCAGCTGTTAGCCCGTAATTTAAAAATCAAATGAAGAACTTAAAAAAAATCAAGATTTAATAAACATTGAGCTGGAATCATTTGCGAGACAGTTAACTTATTATAAGCACCAGGACAGGGCACAGAGATATCTTTATATGCTAGTAATGTCAACCCTTCCTGCTCCCATTTTCTGGCAAGGTTCATCTCAGATGCTTGTCAGCGAAAGGTTATTGTATTTCAATTAGCATCAAAATAACATGAGAGATCTAGATACCAGAACATGCTTCCCAAAGTCATTTCTTATATGATTTTCAATCATTCTATTTAGAACAGTGCTTTACTGTGAATTCCCAGTGGGTTGTTTTTTTTTTTTTTTTTTTACCTCGAACGTAGGCTTTTTTGGCCCGCTTTTTAGCCTAAGTCAATCTCAAAACTTGTTTCACACTTCCCATCAGCCACTGAGTGGCTGCTGGGTTTTGCCACCCAAACTGTTCAACTTCAAAATTTAAGAAAATAAGAAGGCTCCAGAACATCAACGTACCTTTACCTAGTACCACAAACCTAATGTACCACTTTCATCAACGCGTCAAAGCGGCTCCTAAATCTCTGATAGAGTATCTGAAATTTTGTACAGGATTGGTCACGCCCACATTTTCACACAATCCAAACTACTAAGTCTCTCTGAACGTGTATATTAGTAGGGAAGGCTGTCTTACTGAATGTTATTGATTTATCAAACACCAGTCAAATACTGTTTTTATGAATTTCATACACTTGCCTGAGGGCTAGACAAGTGTATTGCCAGTTTTTCTGTAACTACGCTAATCATTTGTCTCTAACAAATAATGAAATTTATTCATACTTTGGATACTAGTTTGGTCCTTTTCCCGGCTTATCGCCTTCATTCTTAAAGTTTTCTTCACTATTTATTTGGTGAATACTAAGGACTTTGCTATTTCTAATTTCCTCTTTCTATTCACCATTCCCGTGTCATCCCTTACTACATTTCCTCTTCCCTCCCTGTATTTTTTTCTACATTATGCGTTCGATTTTAATTGCTTATAACCATATATCCTGAGACGTACCTCAGGAGGTTTGCGGCAGCTCCCATATAACTGCCAAGAAGTTGCCGGCATTGGAGACACAATTTATGGGTACTTATGGCATTTGAGCCAGTACAGCTGACAGTGGATGAACCAACCTGTATTCCTCCCCACTTTCCCACAAAAAAGACCAAAATAGAGGTGCAGAATAAAAAAGGATGTAAAACACTACAGACAGACAGAGGGTAAAAAAGAAATTGAGTGTCCACATGGGATAAAGAAGAAATTGAATACCTGCAGGTTGATGGAAAGGAAAAAAAAAGAAAAAAGAAAAATCGAATAGACAAGATACTGAAATGAAAAGTAGAGAAAACATTTTCAAAATAAAAAAAATATTTACAGTAATTAAAAAATAATGGTACTCCTTCTGAAAGGGAAATCCAGGCAATAGTAGCAAAGAACTCGGAATAATCTCGCTACCTGACCTAGAGGAAAATAATCCGAACACAACAACCCAAAATCATGAGAAATACGTAACTCATTTTGGCCTGAAAATGCTTGCAGGGCGCACTGCATTTTCAATTTGTTTCTAAGGACATATTTTCCTTTAAATTACACATAAAAGTCGCAATTTTTAGATACTTCTCTTGGCATTGTTTCTTCCTTTCATTTCTTCCCATACTGCAAAAGGAATTCCCAGCTAGATACTGGAAAATATAAGCCAGCAAAACAAGTAAGGAAAAACCCAGATAAAACAAACAAATTCAGCTTCTTTTCCACTTTATAGGACCACCTTTGTTTCTTCTCACAATGAAGTTGGTTGCATAACGGGTAAATTGGATTTAATGAGTTTTGCCAGACGGGTATCGCTCTTGGGTATTCCCTTCCGATTCCTTTAAGCAAACATACAAATAATTTCTCACATAGTTTTCTAGCTCATCATTCAGAGTTCTTTTCCGCTTGTCCTAATTTGGGAAAATAACGGCTTTCTTTTTTTGCCTCACCTTTTTTACGTCTTCTAGTCGTTTCTTGCCCTCCCTTGATCTGAGACTGAAAGACCCAGAGGAGCCAAACTCGAGGATGCTTTCCCGGTTTGTTAACCTGCAGAGTTAATCAGACTTGAAAGCTTTCGCTAGTATTCATCTCAAGTACAGGAGCCCACAGACTTAACAAACAAATTCCACCTTTTCAGGGCAAGAGAAAATAACAACCGTTCAGCCACTGGAATCCACACGGCCAGGTTCACTTTAGCAACATCTGGATTTTCAAACGGAGAAAAAAGAATGAGCAAAACTGCATAAATAGATGACAGATAATTTAGTTAGCCCCCTGAAGTATATACAACAGGCAGCTAACATTTTTCTCATACTGAACTCAAATACTCACAGTCAAGTTGCCTTCCAGGTCACAGTTGGGGCAGCAGATGTTCTCCCAGCATGTTACTCACCTCACACTGTGCCGTCGAGGCTGCCAACCTATTCAAGAGCGTAAACAGGGGTTAGCTCAATGCGGCAATCCTTCAGGTCACTATAAAATTATGCAAGATAGTTTTGCAGGCTTCTCTTGAATTCCTGTTTCAGGCAAAGCCTAAATTTAAAACAACAATCGAAACCTTTGACGGCGCTGAAACGAGACTGGACCAAAGAGGGGCCCCGTGCCTGTCAAAGGCAAACGCCGCCCTGCAGCCAAGACGCCATTTTGCTTGGGCAGCCACGAAGGAAGGCTTCAGGCAGCGAACCGAGACCCCCCAGGGCAGCAGCGCGGGAAGGG